CGGGAAGAATGCCGAATTGCTCCGAGGAGTTACCGATTTTATCAAAAAAAAAAAAATAAAATAAAAAATCAAATTGCTCCGAAAAAATACCTAATCACTCCAAAAAATATAACGAATTAATAGAGAAAATACCAAATTACTGCGAAACAAATACCGAATTACTTTGGAAAAATTCCGTCTTATGTCGAAAAAGTAGCTATATACATATTCCGAAATATGTATAACAAATTATTCCGGTATATAACAAATTATTCCGAAATATAACAAATTATTCTGAAATATAAGAAGTTAATCCAAAAAAAAACTAAATACCCCGGAATATATCGAACTACTCCGAAAAATACCAAATTACTCTCTACAAAAAACCGTATTACTATTACTATACTAATTTACCCAAAAAAAAAAACGAATTTATCAAAAAAAAAATAATAATACACCGACTTACTATGGGGAATACTGTACTACTCCGAAAAAATATCCAAATTAATTTCAAAAAATATCGACTTACTATGGAAGATATAAAAATAATACTCCCAAACAATATCAACTTATTACGGGGAATACCCTACTGCTCCGACAAAATAACCGAATTACTCCCAAAAAATACCGAATTATTCCGACAAATGTAGAAATACTCAGAAAAATACTGAAATCCTCCGAAAAAATATCGACCTACTCCGAAAAATATCGACTTACGCCATCAATATTAGGCGTTTCGTCTGTCCTCCAGTTTTCACTGACTTACAATCATTCAATCAATCAATTCATACAATCTTTCCGGCTTAAAAGCACTAAGACAGATGAAAAGCCTGGCGTCGTGATTTTTGCAGGAACTATAGAGGCAGCAACCATTTTTCGCCGCGAACTGACCTTTGCAAAAAAGTAGTATTATATTATATAGAAATTTCTACAACGTTTAATTGATTTAAAAAAAAAAGAAACCGCTTCTCCAAGAACATCGTTTTTCCTCTTTTTGTTTAGTATATGTATAAGCTCAAAGAGGGAATAAATATTATTCAATGCATGTACCAGTTAATTTCCCAGTGACCGTGGAAAGATCACCGTAAAATTGTAATTATACATTCGGTGATAAAAAAAATTAGGTTAAGCGAGACTACAAGTGTCAGAAGCTAAGCTTAGGTTCTACTTGCTTTGCTTATTCATGAAATATATTTATGCAGGAAAATGCATTTAGCTATGGAGATACAGTCGGTGTCAAATGTAAGTGGACACCTGTTCTAATATAATATTCACAATTATTTTCATAAAATTTTTTTTTTCATTAATTATTTATGAAAATAGTTGATCATTCTGTAACATTAACCATATGCATAAAAGTTTCACACTTTATATAAAGTTCACAAAAATTCAAACATGTTTCATCAAAATTTTTATTCAGAATTGAGAGAAAAGTGCAAGTTTCAAATCGCTGGAAATTACCGTTGATTTTTTTAGAATTTTTTTTTTTTGTGGAGGGTGGGTGTTGCGCGTTTTCTTCCATATAACGCGTAATCAGAATCTATTTTTATAAGGAAAGAAAATGCGCAACAACATCCACAAAAAAAAATTCTAAAATTGAACGGGCTAAACATTTGCATACTCGAAAATTTTCCAGAAATTTTGAAATCAAAATTTTGAAATTTTGATAAAAATTGTTGGAATTTATGCGAACTTTATATAAAGTGTGAAATTTTTATTTATATAGTTTATATTATAAGAATTAATATTAATGAATTATATTTTCATGGATAATTAATGAAAGAAAAAATTTTATGAAAATTCTGACTATGATATTAGAACAAGGTCTACACTTACATTTGACACCGACTTATGTATCGACAGATATGTGGCTTGTGCATGAAGCCATAGGGATATAGCTTTTGTGAATATCTCTTCTAAATTATTTATGCACTAATTTTATTCAAATGAAAGCAAAACTTTTAGAGCGAGAAGAATTTCGAAAGTACGCGACAGATAAGCTTAATAAACAAATAACATCGACTGGAGTTATATCTACCAGGAATGTTTAATTTAAAAAAAAAAAATTTCGGACCGCCGTTGACACTAAAACCGCAACGCATATAGTTGAAATTCTTATTCACACTGAAATTAATGCTTTTACGAGACAAAAATACAGAATACATATATAGAAACATATAAAGTAAATTACGAGAAATGAAGCAAAATGTAAAACCTCAATAATTTCACAAATTATTTGAATAGCAATTTTTTTTCTTTTATTTTTTCTATACTTAGTTTTACTATCGAAAAAACATAAAATATTATAAAAGTGCATTCATTACTAGGTAAATGCACTTGTACGTTTGTGCTTAAAAATTTTTGTAGAATTTACCCATTGAAGCGGAATGCGAGAACTTTTGGAACACAAAATGTGTAATGCATGCGGAATAGCCAATAATCGATATAATAAATTTTAGTAACTTGATAAATCTGAAATCGTGGTAATTTATAAAAATTGCCTGTTAAGAAATTTTTTCTTTCAAGCTTGTTCTGAAACTTTCAAGCATAGATAAGCAAAGCGAGCTTTTGCCCTTTGTGCACGTGTAAAGAATATATAAAAAGCTTGGAAAAAGCTTCGCCGGGGGGTGGTTATTACAGCTTTAAGACAATATTGACAAGATAGAGCTTTTAACCTGTGCGCGCCTTTATAATACGGTCACGAACAAAACATATACTGTAGTATAAGTTTTTTAAGGCTTTCTATAGATTTCCTACAGTTTCGACCAGAGAGAATTTTAATACGTGCACGTCCGTATTAAATATATGTATCGAGGGCTTTAAAAGTTTCAACCGTGGTATATGTGCTGGTTGTGACTGATCTAAAACAGTGATGGTCGTCTACATGCACAGCTTTTTGAAGCTTTCTATAATTTATCACAGGCGTGCGCAGGGTAAAATCTCTATGTCCACCACGGATCTAAAACAAAGACAGCCAGAGACAGCTTTTTCGCTGTGCGCGTCGATATGAAATCTTTAGAAATCATAAAAAGCTTCTAACGCGGGAATGTGTTGATCGCGACAAATGTAAAAGATAGCGAAGGTTTAACGTAAACTCGACTCTTTTTTGTATAAAATGTGACAACACCTAACTAGGGCTGAGAGTTCTGTTCGGATAATTTGAACGTCCGCATAATCCGAATATTCGAATATCGGATTAAAAAATCTGAATATTCGGATGTGATACCGGATATCCGAATAACAAAATGAACAGATATTAATTGAATATGAACGAGATATACGGACAACAAAATGGAAACAATTTCACCCGTATACACGAATATCAGAATACACTGATAATAATCGAATATCGGATTAAAAAATCTGAATATTCGGTGTGAACCGGATATCCGGATAGCTCAATTAACATATGTTAACCGGATCTCCGTATAAAAAAAATTAACGGATACTAAACGTCCTTGCTTTGTTAGTTGTTGTTGCTTTCGCATGCAAAATTTTTCGCCAGCCGAGCGGAAATCAAACACAGCTGGCAGAAAAGTGGCGAATCGAAGGCGCCTAAAGTAGAAGGGGCTTTACTCTATACATTAATCTCTATAAACGAATATCGGTAAGGACATCCGAATACACGGATATTCCCAGCCCTACACTTATCCAGATCATAAGAAGTATTTTTCAGCAAAAGTTATCCGGTAACATTCATAAAAAAAAATATTCCCGTAAATTGATAACATTTCTGCTTTTCAGTGTTGCCGCTGTGCGACTAAAGGGGCAATTTGACCCTTTTTAAGCGGAAATACACTTTGACCCGACTTTTTGAAAATTTTGATTTTTTGACCCTTTTCCAAAATGATAATAGAAAATATTTCCTCCGGTAAGTACGAAAAAAATGCATCACTTAAAACTTCTAATGGAAATGCAATTCTTCTCCTTGGAGCAACTAGATTTATATGTATTTTGCAATCCTGTTTTGTGTAAAGCTTGTCCCGTTATTTTCTGTTTAAATTCTACAGATTTATATAATATGGTGACGCCTTTTTCGTCAATGACCCATTTTTTGCGACTCTGAAAATTCTCAACGGGCAACATTGCTCCTTGTTTGAAGTAGCTTTGGAAGCTTTGATTTAAAACAGGCGTGGGCGACTGAATAAAAAATAGTTAGGGTTCAAAAGTTTTCTCTCCAAAAAAAAGTCGAAGAAGTGAAGAATGAACAGAAAATTAAATTGTTTCCATATACTAGTAGGTGTCCAGCTTTAATTACGATCATTAATTTTTTAATCAGAATTTTAAAAAAAAAATTTGATACGCAATTTTATAGCTATTAAATTTTGCACAGTATGTTCGAAAATGTTTTTATATAATTTTTTATATTATCTTTGAATAAATATTTGAATTCAACCGTTAAAAATGTTCTACATTCTCGTCCATATTTAATTCTTATTTTTGGATTCCTTTTTTGTTTTTTTTTTTTTCAAAGCATACCGAGCCCTAGCCGCGAAAAAATTTCGCTTACGATTTTTTTTTGCGGTTAGGGCTCAATATTATAATTTGATAATCAGCGCGTCAGGCATTAGCTAAAAAAAACGTTTAACCATTTAAAGCCGATAAAAATATCTCCCAAGTCGCACAAATATGCCTATCGACTAGCGTGAATTCAATACCACAGATTGGCGCATATGAGTCAACATCTATTTTTCATAACAGGGGCACTTAACCAAAGATAGTGGTCGTAAATCAATGAAATCAGCAGCGATTATCGCGATCGATCATAGAACATAAAAAAGCAAATTAAGTTCACAAAATACCGGTATGACCAAAACAGTGGAGTATATGTCGTTTTATCTACATATATAAACTAACAGCACACACACACACACGTAGTTACTAGTTCAATTATAATTGCTGCTATGCAAAAGCTAAACCGCACTATCTAACAGTTTCGAAGTATGTAATGCCGTGTCATAAATTGTAAGAAGTAAATAGAATAAAAAACAATAAAAAAAAAAAAATTGAATATTACTCACCGCTGCTGCATTGCGATTTGCGGCTGCAGCTGCCGCGGCAGCATTGTTCATGAAATGATTTTGCGGCAACATGCCCATGGCGGCGGCGGCAGCAGCTGCAGCTGCATTTGGTGGCTGGCCGCCGAAGTACACTAACTCGCCGGGTCCACCAGTTGGACCGGGTGGTCCCGGTGGGCCTGGTGGCTTGGGTACACCGTTCATGCCCACACCGGGATGCACGCCGGGATGATCGTACATGCTGCAATTGCCCGCTTGCATGCCGGCTGCCATCTGCATGTGCGGCGGTTGCATACTAGCAGCAATGGCGGCAGCTGCTGCAGCAGCAGCTGGATTATTCATGGCATGATTTAGTAAATTCGAGCCGAATTGCTGATGTGATGCCATTTGAGAGGGATGTGGCGGTCCATGTGGTTGCTGCTGCTGCTGCTGTTGTTGTTGTTGTTGCTGCTGTTGCTGTTGCTGTTGGTGTTGTTGCTGTTGTTGTGAGTGCGAGAGCGCCATTTGCTGGCCAACGCCAACGCCGCCACCATGTTGTTGTCCTTGCTGTTGTTGTTGCTGCTGCTGCTGCTGTTGTGGTCCTGGTTGCTGGTGTGCCGGGTGTGGCGGCTGTTGTTGATGTTGCTGCTGCTGTTGTTGATGTTGTTGTTGTGCTGCAACAACCTGTGACATCATATGATTGTGCTTGGCCACAGCAGCTGTGTGCATGGCAGCCATGCCAGCGGCAGCAGCGGCTGCGCTACCACCACCTACGCCCATCTGTCCGACACCCATCTGGGAGGGTCCACTCATGGAAGGGTGTAAGCCACCATTCGTGCCGATACTACCAATGCCAGCGCCCATGCCTATGGGGCCGATGGTGCCTGGGCCACTACCGGGCGGTGCACCGGTTGTGGTATTAGCGGGATTCATTTGTGGCGGTGGATTGTACTTCCATTTGTCGGGATTCTGAAAGGAGAAGGAAGGGTTGATTTTATTTTGTTAAAAAAAAACGTACTGGTTATTTTAACATATAATGGTATAATTTCATCCAAATATAATACATACATATAATATACTTTGTATATGTATACATACATTAGGGCGCATCGCTCTCCATTATAAAAAAATCGATACTACTTTCCCACCGGAGTTTTAAAATCTATCTATTTTGAGACTTCCGTAAAAAAATTTCGGAACAATATTAATATTTGTGTACGTGAGCTAGACCAATTTGAAAATACATCTAAAAATCTAGTTTTTTTTATAAAATTTGTTTTAAAAAATATTTTTTCCCAAAAAATCACTTCAGAAGATAGAAAAGTTTAAGCTTAGAGGGTCTGTATAAAAATGTTTACGAAAGTGATTAAATTTAATTACTTTCGAATATGTGGCAACCCCCTACAGAACTGTTTTTGAAAAATCTTTCTGGCACCTGATCCGATTGACATCCATATTCTTGTACATACTTTATTTATCAAATACTGGATTTTGACTTTTAAACAGGTGGTAACTCTCTTCAAAATATTTTCGAAATAAAGCTTTCTTAAACCACATTCGTTGGCAATTAATTTTATTTATTAATAAAATTGAACTTAACTTTCTAAATAGGTGGCAATCCTCTTTAAATATTTTCGTAATAAAGCCTTTTTTACCTCGTCTGGTACCCTCATTGTAAAATATCGTTTAACTTATAATTTAACATTTTAAGTAGGTGGCAACCCTTTGCCAAAAATATGTTATATCTTAATCCACGTCAGAAAGAGTAAGAAACATACACACTCACTCACGAAATTCCACATTTATAACATTAGTCAGATTTCATTTAACTTGTCAACTAAATTGATTTTAAATTTCTAAGCTGGTGGCAAGCCTCATATTGAAATATACCCATACCCATACCCATATTGAAATATTTTAATTAACTTGTGACTTAAATTAATTTAGGATTTCTGAACAGGTGGCAGCGCCCTTTAAAAATATTTTTGAAATAAAGCTTTCTTAAACCACTCTTATTTGATAGCCATATAAAAATTTTTCATTTAACTTGTTATTTAAAATTGTAACTTTTTGAACAGGTGGCAACACTTTTACAGAAATGTATCGACATAAGTAGGTCGCATTTATTAAGCACCTTTTGTTTGACACCCACATTGCTGTGATACATATTTTATTAAGCCTATTTGTAAATGTAATTTATCTTTTCCAGCAGGTGGCAACACCCTTGAAAAATATTTTCGAAATAAATAGATTTGGAGCCCATTTCATTTGACATCCACCTTGTTGTGATACTTTATTTGCCTTATTAATGTATTTTAAAACGTGGCAACTCTGTTCAAAAAATATCCTTTATGCTAATCCAGGTTATAACCTATTTGTGTGCCAAATTTTATTGAAATCCGTTCAGCGGTTTTTGCGTGGAAGAGCAACAAACATACAAACTTTCACATTTATAATATTAGTAAGAAGAAAAGATTAGTAAATAGGATTTTATCATAAAGTGTATTAACAGCAAATTTCTGCGAAATTGCAGCCTACATAGCGTTGTTCCACTACGAAGATATCAAAACCCAAACATGCCCAAATTTAGTTACCACATGTGACTTTGTTTATATCGTTATGTTATTTGTTATTCTTGCAATGTGTCCTCGACTTCCAGCCAGCTTGTCTGGGACAATATTTTCAACCAATAAGTAATACTTAGTCAAGGATGTATGCGAATTCGTCGAGTCGTCGTCTGCTGTCGCTCAATGAAATTCGTTGGTGAGAGACTTTATGGCAGACAATGCCACATATTCACACATGCACACACGCAACAACAGCAAATACATTTTATTTCGCACAACGAAAAATATACGTATATAAGTACTTATGAAAATAACTGGACTATGGCGTCGAACGCCATTAAGAGACCTATGTATAACACATATGTATGTAAGTAAAAAACAAGAACCCCAAACCAAAATCACTTGCATTAAGTGGGTGCCAAGGCAAAGAAAGTTTCGCGAAGGCGTGCGATTGAAAGTCTTAAACGAAAACTAGCAGTGAAGGTACTGGCGGGCAGGCCATGGAGATAATGTATATATGTATGTACTTCAAAAGCGCAAACTTGTTTACCACCTACGGATTGTGTATGTATGTTCCCAGTAGATAATTTCAGCAGTTAAAAGCTCTTCCGAAGGCCTTCCTGGGAGGGAGAGGGAGAGATTGAAAGTCTCCTGAAGGAGAACCAGAGTTTTCCGATCGAAAAATATCGATTTTTAAGAATTCTATACCATTTCTGCGAAAAGTTGTTTTTTTCATATAAAAATATATGGAAAACTTTGAGCGCTTAGTAGGGGTATACTTTTTTTCGATATAGAACAATCCTAGGTGGTGAGAGCACCTGTTTTTGGACCACCCGAATGTACATACATCGGCCTGTGACAATTTTATTATATGTACAGATATGTTTTATAGTAACTTATAATGTACTATTTATGTATATTGAAATTCATTTGTACTACTAAATAATATAAACTTGCATATTCGCGTTAATTGTAAAACTAGGAAGGAGAGCCCTTCTAGAAGTAATGTAGGGAAGCGCAATTTTCAGCCCTTCCTGGGAATGTCTTTTAAAACGCCTCTACTTGCGAAACCCTACATATCGTCCCCTCAATATAACAATAGCGTATAATTTTTTTGGGGTTTTGAGAAAATCGAGTTTAAAGTTTTTGTCAAATCAGATGTCTATTAAATTTTTGAACAAGAAATTATACACCATTTTTTCCAATGACATTTTGACCCACTTTGTGGAAGTAGAATTTGACGAAATTTTGACCAGACATAGAATCAATGATGGAGATTCTAAATATGCAATAAAAAAATAATGGCGTATGAGCACATACGCTATTGTTATATTGAGGGGACGATAATATATTGTCTTCTGGGTATATGTATGTATGTAGGAGGAGAAAAATCAAAACTCAACCAAAATCAAATAATTTTTACTGTCGCCAATTTGGCGGCATGCTGTTGAAGAGAGGAAGCTAGCTGATGGTTTTTGGCGGTTAGCATCAAAGGAAAAAGCACACTCCAGACATACTGACTCACTAAATTGCCCGGCTCTTGTGGTCAGTGTGGCCATTTTGCTGCTTTTAGAGCTAGTTTTAACTCTTTATTTCCCTATTTAACTCCGAAAATTGGGATTTAGCTCCTAGCTCCTTTTTAGCTCTTTTCAAAATTATCTAGCACTTTTTTAGCTCCCGAAAGTTTTAGTTGTATTTAATAATATATTGAAATCAAAAATCTGTAATTTCATTGTACAAGTGTTGACTAAAATTCATTTGGCTTTTGTGATATCGGGCTATTTTCGATACCTTCATGTTATTCTATTTCGTTTAATACTTAGAAAANCAAAAATCTGTAATTTCATTGTACAAGTGTTGACTAAATTCATTTGGCTTTTGTGACATCGAGCTATTTTCGATACCTTCATGTTATTCTATTTCGTTTAATACTTAGAAAAGTTCCATTCCTAATGCAAAATGGCACGTATGCAAATGGAAAATGGGCAAGTAAGTCGATTACTTTCTACCACGTGGAGCCAGGTTAAAGAGTTCAAAAATTAATTAGAAGAAAATCCTCTTTCTGAACGCGCGGAGGAGAGAACGAAATAAAACTTTTCGTAAAAATATTATTCGTAACCCGAGTATTTAGAGTCAATTCAAATATCTGAAAGTGCAGATTTTAACAGTTTGTAGAAGTATCTTTAGTTCATCGTCTAGTTATATAAGTACATACATACATATAAGTGTTATATTTATGTGCTGCAGCAATGAATTCGAAATAGTATATGCACCCTATTTTGGTTGTAAAAGTTTTTTTCAGCACTTAAATTTATAAAATTCGTTATTTTTATTAAAATTGCGAAAAATGTAAAAGCAACTTTACGTCAATATATGCTCAACTTAAAAAAAAATAGTTCTTCATTTTAGCTGCTATTAGTATTATTTACCTCTTTTAGCTCTTTTTTCGAATGATTTTGCTCCAAACGAAATTTTTTTCTGGCAACACTGCTTGTAGTCGAATGGGCTACCGACCGACCACCTTCGGAGGGCAGAAGCACTCTACCCATTACAATTATGTATGAGCATTGCAAATTCATTGCGAAGTGTGTGCGTATTGCCAAGAATTAGAGACTTGTTTACGTTTGTGGGTGCTTCCAGCAGTTTTCGCCTTAAAGTCGTTTTTCGCCTTCCCAGCAGCCACCAATGGCTATTTGTCTCTCTCGGCTACTTTTTCTGCATTCAGCCGCCATCAGACGAATGTGGGCACAGCGCAGGGTAGCCAACTCATTTTTGAGAATTCCCCGATTTCGACAATGAAATTCCCCCGTCCAAAATGTCGTAAAATTCCCTCCCCCCATAGATATCTCCTTATTAAAAAAAAAAACTTTGTATATTTTGCTACATTGTTGGTAGAAGTCCCCAAGAGTTGGCTTCCCTGGTACAGCGACACAGAGGTAGGTATGTAGTTGCTAGTGCGAAGGGCGATCCCGCCGGAAATCGTTCAGAGGAAGCGCAAATAAGGAAAATTACAAGTCGTTGTAATTTCAGCGAAGCACAGACAAAGTTAAACAAAAATATGTTGTGAGGGTAAAATGGAGGCAGAAAATAAAATACTGAAGCCTTGAATAAATTCATCTGTATTTACATATGTATATACTATACTGCATTTATTGACGGCAGTTTCCGCTGCTGAGCGCAAAGAGTGTTAATGGGAAAAGCGACATAGAATAAGGTAAGCGCTATTTAATCAAATTACGACTTAAAACAAGTGTAGCTTTTTTAAAGGAGCTTTCAGAACGACTGTGTTTTGATACAGTCTGATCGAAGAAGACCAGTCCTTTTTACATCCGTTTGTATGAATGAAAGATACGACACACAGTGGCATGTTCCGATATAGCTCTAACCAAAAGTAGTAAATGTAC